CCAAAACTTATATCTCAAAAACATAAAACTTTCAATTTATGATGCCTTATCCCAAAATAAAGCTATTTCTCCACCTACCACCTCCTCTCAACCATTTACAATCATTATCCATTTAATTTATTCATATATATTCTCTTCTCAATCAATCACAACATTTCTCTAACAATTTTTACCTACTTTCTTAATACCCGAGTCCACCTCTAACATTTTGAGCAAAGGAAGTATTTTCTAATTTATGGTTAAAATAAATCAACGGTGGATACTTGGTTGGGTGGCTTAGGAGCTAGTATACCTCCAAGCACGATAAAATTAGTTCTCATATATAGGCATGTCATTCACACATGATCGTCAGGAAACTATAGGATCGTCAGTCCAGTGACTTCAATGTATGCATCATCTAATTAAGCACAAGACGAGCAGAATATTTAATTTACTGGATATATATGCGTTAAAAGCTATTCTCTAAGCAAGTTGTGATCAAACTATATATACCCACGCAAGAGTGCTGAGATCACCTTGATGACACATTGAAATTATTCGTTTATTAGCTAGCTAGTAGCTTGGATATATATATTGGGGCAAACGCTCCCTGTTTTCATCATTATACTTACACCAAAACAATTAATTACTAGTACATTTTTTTTCACATTATAAGCAGGGCCGGCCCTGGGATTCTTGGCCATCCTCAACGTCTGATTGTATGGAAGCTTACAGAAAGGAACAAATTTTAGTTTTTACCATGTCAAATCAACCTGACGGTAATATATAGAACTCTGGGAGCATGCACGTAATCAACTAGAGCTAAATCCTATTTCATCACATTATAAGACATTTTAGGTTTTGAATATATATGTGTGGGTGTATGTATATATATGTATATATATGTATGTATATATATCCATATATGTGTGTTTCATATATGTACCTACATTTATATAGATGTAAGTGGAACTAACTCTTGTGCCTGTTCGTTCGAAACAATTAGTAAATCAACTTGGAATGGCAGAATTAATTCTACTATCAAAAAATTAGGTCAAGTTGGAGCAATAATTCATTTTTATACCGCTAACATTCTATACTTCTATATCTATATACGTTGGGAAAAAAAGTTGTTCCAAAATACTTTTACTTGCGCACATGCATATATACCAAAGAAGATATGTATGTTCTCTACACAGTCAAATCTAATAATTTAAGACCCGTGTTTAGAGCATCAACAATGGTGTCCCTACTCCATTCCTAATCTTTATTTTTTGGAATTTTAGTAAGAAAAAACCGCTCCAACAGTACCCATACTATTCATTCCAAAAATCACCATTCCCTTCTTCATTCTCGCTCTTCACAAATCGGGAATCGTTCTCAATCTCAAATTTTGTCTCCTGAGCGAGACTGCCATCCAAGAAGAGGGGCGAGTGGGAGGGCAGCGCTAGATGGGTGATTGTGGAGTCAGATGGCACGATGATAAAGCGCGGGTTGAGGTAATACTTTTAATATTCTCAAATCCTCATTAGATAATCTCAAAAGGAGATTTAGGAAAGAGATTTTTAGTCATCTATTGGCCATGAGGTTTCTTAGCTTCGTCCGGGAATAGTCGTCTCTTGAAGAGAAAGTAAAAATTTATGTCAAAATGAGATATATATGTTCAATGTTCAATGTCAAAGTGAGCACAAAAAGCTCAAATAATTGCTGAAAGTTTTCTTGGTTATTGTTTTTCTCAAAAGGAGTTAATTTGAGAATCAATGATAATGCAATAAGTCTACATGTAGAGTTTTTCTTTCAACCTATGTACTATTGAATATATTGTATTATAAATTGTTTGAAATCATGAATCTTGATTGTTGACTTAAGCTTAATTGTAACATTTTTGGTTCATGTTTATACTCACAATGCATGCTTGTTAACTCGTTGATGAATTTATATCTTTTGTTTTGCAACACACGTCCTTGAATTGCTCTTGTTATATCTCAAAGCTCTTTGAACTATAAGTGGTGACTTGCAAAACTTGATAATATCATTGTCAAAGGGGGAGAAGAGATACAAAACATGCATGTTTTCAGCTGGGGGAATTTTCTTTCTTTTCAAAAGGGGGAGAAGTTCTATGTTGATTTTTTAGCACTCCAATGATTTTTTACCACTTATTTGTTTTTATTTTTTCAAATAACAAAACAACAAAATTTTGATCGGTTTATCAATGTGTTCATCAAGGGGGAGATTATGAAATCAAAGTGTGCTTGATTGTTATTTTGTGATGAACAATTGATATGAGAGACAATTGGTTTTAATATTTGGTGGATGATTAGCGAGGTGGTGCTGACTGTGTTAGCTTGGTCATACCCATCAGTGGTGGCCGGACAAACCCACGTGGTATGTGCGGTCAAATCGGCTAGCCCAATGGTTTGATCGACCGATTTTGTATTGGTGTCGATTTCGGGCTGTTTATTTGGATACTCGTGATTATCTCATGTTTAGGACTTCTAGAAGATTTCTATATGTATATAATAAAATTGTGTGCTAATGTTGAGTCAAGTTGAGAAGAACTTATGCTCGGATATGGTTGCCTATTTGATTCATGTGTAGGAATATCTTGATGCCATGGGAGAGTATTGTCGATGATGGATCAGGATTTAACTTGGGAGAAGATGATGTCCAGATGATCGGGATATCATGGGGATGCTTAGGCTAAAGAACAATGGACGAGGTTGATGGAGATTCCATGCGGCATACGATGGGAGATTGTGTGCGTATGGAAAGTGGAGTCAAACTCCGAAGGAGTCCAAATTTGAGAAGATTAGAGTTTAAGTTGGAAAGAGATAAGTTTGTTTCTTATACGGGAATGTTTCCTAGTGGATTAGGACTTCTTGCACAAGTTGGATTCGTGGCTTTAGGCTATCTACCTCGAGTGTAAGTAGAGAGGGGGGCTAAGCCCTCCTGGTATCGATTTGTACGAGTTGAGCTGAGAGAAAAAGTTAGGGTTTCGAGTTTAGTTGAAATTTTTGAAAGAAGTGTTGTAGTTCGCACTTTGTAAACGCTAATATAATCAGTAAAGGTTGAAATTTTTGAAAGAAGTGTTGTAGTTCGCACTTTGTAAACGCTAATATAATCAGTAAAGGTTAATCTATTTCCACGAGTTATTTAATTTGTGTTTGCTCGGTTTCGAGAATCACACCGGCAAGTATACGGCAACCAGACCGATGGCTTACCAATGGTCAGACCGATGGGTATAGGGCAGTTAGACCTGCGGCAGCGACAGGCGCAGGCGGTTCGATAGGCGGTCAGACTGGCCGATCAATACTGCTCAGACCGGCTGCAAGGGCATGGTCAGACCAGGGCTAGCCAGTTAGACCGATCTCCAACGATTGGAAGGTAACTTTTAATTCCGCAAAAACTTTTGGTTTTTGGTGTTGCTGCCATTCACCTCTTCTCTGATGTGTTTAGTTTTTATTGTTTGATCCATGAAATAATTGTATACCATATTTATATTTTGAGTGAAGTTTAGTTTGGACCTCTCTTTCTTGCCACCGCGCCTTAGACCGATCGGCCAAACTGTAGTGGCAGCCTTAAGCAATGATGTAGTCAGCAACAACAGCCATTTTCTCTATGCACATTAAGCCTGATGGCCTTAATTTTTCACTGATCAGTTTTCCCTACCGGCAAAAGAATGACGTTCAGCGGGTTATATGGCTGAGAATTTGCTTGTCGCTCAACCCGTCATGAAACACTCCCCCATCATACATTTTCCATTTCCGCATCATCCTACTCCTGTCAGGTCTCTTTCAAGGCTTGTTCGGTTAATCCCAAATGAGAGATAGAAAAATTGAGCAGATTAATTAATTCCAAGTACAGAATTATTTTCCTTCAAATCCCATTCAATCCTTTTATGTTGGGGATTAAGCGAATAAGACCTCAACACTATTATTTTTCATGTTGGTTTTTGCAAATTCCCTGCCAGTATTTTTGTTGTCACGAAAGATAGGAATCCTAGTAGATGTCAGAAGCATTAGCACTCGGTAACTTGAAGCGCTGACTCCTGACCAATCTGTATATGTTTTTTCTGCATTGGCTACATATAAAGGATATATGTCATATTTATGACTTGAGGAAAATCCAATGGCCCACAATGATTATCAATTATCATGGCTTCTATTTCGCACGATTGATCATCCATCCTAGCAATGATTCATAAATCAAATTTTGCATTTCTTCTTTTCTATTACACCGGGGGCCGCCGACCTACTATGTACAGGGATATGATCAGGTACAGTTGTACCCAAAAATTTTGCAAAAAAAAACCCCACCATATATTATAGTATATGTTATGTATATGTACTAATAGTTGGGTCAAATGGGTAATATTTGAGTTTAAAATGGCATTCTAGATGGTATGGAAATTTCTCGACTGAGCCGTTATTGTTTCTGCAAAAATAATAATATAATAATATATTGTGTTGTTAACTTTTATGGTAATGCTTGAAAATATCGCAACTGGTTCTATGCAAACTAAATTAAAAAATATTGCAGACAACAAAATACTTAAATGATTTTCTTGGTTACATGCTTTGAAATCGACATTTTCTACATATTCAGAATAAAGATGTAATATCCCGTTTATAAAAAAAAATCACATCAAGTATACTTTTAATTTTATTTTTTTAGTATATATTTTGTAGTTCTAGAAATTTATTGCACACTATACTCACTTTACTAAACTATGTCCATGTTAGTTTTTCTTATCAAGGCATTTATCATTAATTTATATCAAGTCTATATATAGTACCGTCTTTTTTTAAGAAAAAATACAAAGATTTTTTTCTTAACTTCATACCCACATTTTAAAAATCTTTCATCCACCACCGTATTACACTAGTGATCTAAACTAGTTGACATCTCTTTATCACGTTACACATAAGAGTATCATCTAGGTATTATGTAAGAAATATATATAGCTTAGAATCAATAAACAACCAAGACATCAACATGCACACAGGATCAAAGGCCAAACATAAATAAAACATTTGATTTCATACAACAACAATGCTGACCACTTACATCAATATTGATGCATGCATGGAGATGAAGGTGAGCTACCATGCATGACATAGACGTATGGCACACATTTTTGCTGCTAGCTAGCGGCCGGGGTCATATCCAGCTTATTACAAATATGTATAGTTATACTCACATACATCACTCATATCTGTAGGTATAAAACAGGGGAGTAGGTATCATAAGCATGCATATATAAGTAACGTACTCCCTCTATCTTAAAATAAAGGGATTTTATCCATGTAACTGTATATTTACATGGATAAAATACCTGATATTTGAATTATTTATATATATAGTATATATATATGGATGCATGCGATGACATACATGCACATAGATTATATAAGTATATATAATAAAAACTCTTCCATATCTTAATTATCCGCAGCATCCGGGCCTACTCATTTGCCACCTGAGAGCATTGTGCCTGGCCTCCAGGTTGTGGTAGCTGGTTTGCAGGTTGTGGTGGCAGGCTTGCAGGTTTCTGTAGCTGCTGTGCAGCTTGTTGTATTCGCTTTCCAGGTTGTAGTACTCCCTGCGCTTCTGCTCCTCGTAGCTCTCGTGGTTCTGAAGCTTCATCCTAAGCGTCCGGATTTGCTCTTCTAATCCTGCGATTTCACGGTCCTGCAGCCTGATGTTGCCTTTCTCTAGCACCTCTGTTGCTTGTCCTCTCTGCCACATTAATTGAACATGGATGGATCGGATGGATGCAAATTAAATTAATTGTGTGCAATCAGAAAAATTCATCAATTAATTCTACCTATTATTTTTCTGGGTATAGTATATGACTGTAAACGTACTGTAAGTAAATATGAGCTAGAGATGAGGAGGACAAGATCAGGAAGAAGAAAGGAAGTAATTATAATAACCATGTTGTTGTGAGATCGATCGGTAGCAAGTTGATCAGTTGCACTCACTTGGTTCCTTCAGAATACTCTCCTTCTACCTTAGCTTTCTAGTTCATTTGTTATGGCCTATCAGAGACCCTGAACATCGCTTAAATAGACATCGCATGAAGAGTGGCAGGACTAACTAATTAAGTAATATATGCATTATGTTCTCCATTGTAATTAATTTACTGATGTGTGGATGGATTCGTCTCAACATGTAGTTTTCTAAGATGCTCATGTTCAAAATTAAACAACAAATTTTGTATGATCGATGCATGCATCCACCTCAAATACCGTTAGTGAGGAGTTGCGTTGCGTGTACATGAGCATATGCATGCGTCTGTATTGAGTATCGAAAATTGGTTTTGCCAAATCCCATGCAATTATGCTGCATTTGATTTATACATTAATTTAAGGAATTATATAAACAGTTTTTTAAAAAAAAAACACACAAAGCACAAACGCAGGCACTCACAACCCATACACACTTTCCCCTATAAACGTTCCCTATGAACACCTAAAAAAATTAGGTCGGCATATCTTAAGATCGACAAATTTCTTTTTTTCTACTCACTACCTAAGCTCAGGTTATGCATACCTTTTAAGGGCATAATGTTTACCAAGTTTGTGCCCGTTTGAACTAGATGAAGAAGCTGATGACAGTTGATGAATGCATGATGTATTGCTTTACAAGGATGAATTAAACACTATATAATATAGGGATAGTCTAGATCTCATGCATGCATACGACTAAAATTTAGGCACTTCTAGCTCGTATCCCCCATATAAACTACTTAAGCCTTTCTTTATTAGATAAAGATTGAACAAAGAATTATTCTAACTTAAACACAAAATAAATTTACAATTGGTAAAAAATACAAAATACAATAACAAGACTACACTTAAAATAAACTAAAATTGCATATACATAGCAGAATGATTTTAGACTAATTAGCAGTATGTAATTTTAGGTAATTAAAAAATTTCAAATTTACTTCTTACGTTTCAAAATATAAGGCTTGTTTTGTTTTGTTAAGAAAGGCTTTGACCAATAATTAGCTTATTAGATATACTTTTTATGACATAAAATTATTTTTATTCATATTGAAAAGTACTACTTATATATGATGATTATGTTTTTGTATTGCACAGTAATGTCATAATAGATAAATTGTTGGTTAAAGTTTTATCTATATCGATACTAAAATACACCTTATATTTTAAAATGGATGTGGAGTGTAACCTCTAAATGAACAGAGTTTTGGATAAATCATAGTTTTGGAAGTATATTCACTAATAATCATATACTAAGATAGCCATGCATGCAGGAGTGCTGATATCACCTTGATGACGGCCCGAAATTATTCCATTACCCCATTAGATCTAGATACAAGAGAATATATGCGCCCTGGTTTCATTATTAATAAACCAAAACAATTATTAATCCTACATGGTTGAATAGCAAATGTAGAATTGTAATTGGGACTCCCTAGCTACTATACGACAACTTAGTATTATCAATTATAGATTTTAGAATTAAATAATTAAATAGATTTAAAAAAAAGAAAGAATTAAAAAGTACGGTCGTGGATTCTATATATAATTTTGACATTAATTATTTTTTATTTTGATAAAAAAGTATGTAATATAAATGTGCCATGCGAAGACAGGGATTACTGCGATTATAGTATCATAGTATGGTTAATTACTCAAGTTGAAAGAACATTTACCTAAACCATTATGAAGCAGTACCTATGGGTCCTAAAAAAGGTTTTTTCAACTATTGCTTTTACTTGTGGGCATATAGGCATATATGCAAAGCGCTATGTTGGCTTTACATGTAAACCTGATTATTAAGACCTAATTTAGGAGCTTCAAAAGGTTTGTTAAGTTAAACTAAGTATAGATTCAGACAACAGATTTAGGTCACATTGATTTAGACAACTTTGGAAACTAACTATATAAATGATACTTTCATTGGTTTTCTTATATAGTAACTTTTAACTTCATAAGGGCACATTGATCTTTTAAGGGCAAATATGATAGTCAATTAATTGACGTTGACCAATAATAGTGACAAAAGAGAGCTGAGAACTAACTGAATAGTGGCAAAAGAAAGAGTTCCAAATTCTTGATGGTCTTTTTGTTGGATATTTGCTTGCAAATTCTATATGTTTTTTTTCTGAGAAATATAAAATTTCAAGTTAAGAATTATACATTTAGAGATCTATTGAAACGTATGGGTATTTTGCTAGTAAATACCTTTTGGTTTCAATGGGCTACACTCGCATGCCACACACATCCATAAAGAACATCGATCTGGTTAAAGAGATTTGCTAAACACGACAGGGATTTGTGATATCTGATGTTGACTGCCATTACATGCAGGTGTGCGTTGGGCCATTTAATTTGGAAGACTCAGAAAACAGCATGGTTTTTAAATTATGTGATTTATAGTCCTGTAAAAATCTTGTTTATATGTACGTTACGTGTTGCTTAATATTGGATTTCTTTGGTATTAATTTGTCATTCATCTACAGAAATTGGAGAGGCGGCGAAGTTAAAGGCGGCTGCTAGAATTAGACGAGTGTTAGTAGTGGAGGGATCAAGTGAATCAGATTCATGCCACGTACTGTGCATCCATCCAGAGAAAATTGCTACAAGATTAATCTGCTATGCCCCTAAATTTTGTGTCATCCGTTACATGCACCAGAGACTTTTTTCTTATTGGTAGTTGATTGTTATTTTTCTTTAAATAACTACATATTGCCCCCATCCCATACTTATATGCTAGTGATAAAAACACAACTGTCAACTGAAAAAAGATTCATTAATTTGTAGAAAAAAGGACATATGAAATCAGCTTTGATGAAATTCATACAACATTTTCATAAAAAGTGCCACACAATTTAGTGCCTGTAGAAAGTGCATCTACTTTCTTATAGGCATGCATAAGGAAATATCTCTACGAAAATACCGCAAGGCATATAGACATTTCATAAAATGTCTATTTGTTTCTAGAGACAATTCACCAAAAGACATTTAGGGCCTCTTTGAATCGCAAGATTAAGAAAACGTAAGAATAGGAAAAAGGTAGGATTTTAGGGCCCCTTTGAATTGGAGGAAAAACATAGGCTTTTTGGAGGATTTTAATCCTATAGAAAAATTTCCTATGATGCCCTTTGAAACACAGGATTGAATCATATCCAATCCTTTGAAATTCCTATGGAATGGACAACCCTATAGAGATTTTGGAGGAAATTTAGCAAGAGCTTTAACCTCTTGGTAACTTTTATTTGAGTCTATCTCTCTCATCCAATTCCTGTGTTTTTCCTGTGGTTCAATCAAACGGTCTAAGGATTCACCAAAAGACATTTAGGGCCCCTTTGAATCGTAGGGTTGAAAAAATAGAGGAATAGAAAAAACACAGGATTCTGACAGGTATTGAAGTGTAAAACAGAGGATTGCAAAACACAGGAATGATCGTTTGATTGGACCGTAGGAAAAACATAGGAATTGGATGAGAGAGAGATAGACTCAAAGAAAATTTTCCAAGAGGTTGGACCTCTTGCTGAGTTTCCTCCAAAATCCACATGCAATGTGTCATTCCATAGGAATTTCATAGGATTTAGAAAGTTTCAATCCTTTAAATCAAAGGGCCAAATAGAAAATTTTCCTATAGGATTTGAATCCTATGAAATTCCTACATAAATATTTTGATTCAAAGGGGCCCTAAAAATACAGGAGTCCAAAGGATGAGAAATGTCACTTAAGTTTTCAAATATTTAAGATGATAGCACTTTTCTATTGAATTTTCTAACATCCGGTGTGCAGACCATACAAAGGCTAACCTGTTTAAGAGAGAACCGCACAAGTTGCTGAGATCACCTAGATGGCGCATCGAAATTATTCCGTTATAGCTTGGACCTGGAAAATGCCCCTTGATTTCCTTACTAGAAGTCAATTAAAACAGTGCAAAAACCCACTTGTGTTACCGTAAAGTTTATTTAGTCAAGTTGAAAAGTCTTCTCTAGACCACTAAAAATCTCTATATGTGCATGGGTTCTAATTACAAACGATTGTTCTAAATTCTTTTTTACATGCGAGCATATATACCAAAGGTGGTATATATATTTTGGCAAGACATCTAAACCAAATTATAAATTAAGACGAGGTGATGTGCAGGAATGCACAGCACAGCGCATAGTAGTCTGCGCATGATCCTAAATGTAACATTCCTATTTTACTTAATTTACTTATAATTTAAAATCGGAGATTGATTAGAATTGATGAATCTTATACATAGTTTTCAGAAAGAAAATGAATTTATGTTACACAATATTTACTCTTTTATACAATAGATTTTTTTCGTATATACTTATCATTCTTATATAGAAATTTATTTGGAGCGATGCCAATTAATTATATCATGTTTTTCTTCAACTTTCTCATGTCTTCAAAATCTACATGCCAAAAATATCCCAAATTTCCATTTGGCTCCTCGCCACAAAATTTTCTACCCATATCTCTTTTAGTAAAAAGTTCTGCTCCAAAAAGCTCCTAGGATACACCATGTCATTGAATGAATATTGGCTGTCCGATTGAGAAGACAACAAAAATAGAGAGATTCAATATTCATCGGCTGTTTCCAGGTTATTGGTCTTCCTTTCTCTCACACAGTCTCTGTGCAGGTTTCCTTGATCTGTCTTCCTATCTCACACACTCTCTGTGTGTCGATCGCCTTCTATTTTTTTCTCTCCCTGTCAAGAGCAAATGAACAGAGAAAGGAGAAAAGACAAACCAAGAGAGTGGGAAAATGTGGCAAAAATACCATCTCGCTGCTCTCAATGCACATGTGAACCATACAAAGCTAACCCAGATTAAGAGATAAGCTACCGAAGGTCGCTGACATCACCTGGATGATGCAACAAAAATTACTTTGTTACTACTGATCTGAGAAAGTGCCCCTTGATTTTCTTCCTGAGTGACAATTAACACAATTACCTAGTTGAATGGAAAATGCAAAGACCCACTTGTGTTACCATATGATTATAATAGTCAAGTTGGAAAATATCCTTTTCTAAACCACTAAAAATACATGGGTGAAGGGTTGTTCTAAATATTTCTTTTTAGATATGGGCATATATGCCATAAAGGCGATATATACAAAATTATATTAAGACCCTGCTTACCAGGTTACATAGCTTCTCCGGGAATTACCTTCTCCATGAAGAGAGTGAAAATTACAGGTCCAACAAAAAGCATCTGATAAAGGAGAAATGTGATGGGCAGACGTGCGTCTGCGCTTATCATCCTAAATAAATGTAACATTCCTATTTTACTCAAGTTATAATTTCAAATTTTGGATTTATTAGAATTGATGAATCTTAATACATAATTTTCAGAAGCAAACTAAAGGGGATTAATTTGAATAAAAACTTTTATAGGGGATTGAAAAGTTAAACTGATTTTTTTTTCATGAAACTAGAGTATAATATGTAGTTTTTCTGATATACCCCTAATCCAGGCCATCTCGCTATTTAAATTTCTGGAAGAAACTATATAAAATTCACAAGTATCCATAAAACATAACTAAAAGATATATGCATAAATATATATTTGTCCATAGAATGTCGTCGTACCTGCAGCTCAAGAGGTCGTGAGGATGGCAGACTAACTACAGCCATACCCTTATTGACCTCTTTTATATACAGGGTGTGTGTTTAGTTCACGATAAAATTGAAAGTTTGGTTAAAATTGGAACGATGTGACGGAAAAGTTGGAAGTTTACGTGTGTAGGAAAATTTCGATGTGATGAAAAAATTAAAAGTTTGAAGAAATAGTTTGGAACTAAACTCGGCCACAATCAAGCCCTGAAGTAATTTCTCATTTGGCTCCTCACCACAGAATTTCCAGGTAATATACAAGTGAAGGACAAAATTAATATTCCTATACATGGATTAGCAGAGCTGAGATGCTGGGCATCTGTATAGGCAATTTGGAATGCAAGATAATTTTGGACCCTTTTTATCTTGCATATAAATTAAGCTTTTTGATTCTTCAAGGCAGAGTAGTTCTCCATAATCCCTCAAATTATATATCAATTACTAAAATAATGACTTGGCTTGGATGATAGAGGGGGTAGATGAAGCCATGAAGATCATGCTGGACAGCTACTACAGCAGTGCAGGCTGCCCGTATCTATGTATGTATGTATGCAGTGACAGATAACATATATATGTTTTTTTTTAATAATGGAATATAACATTCCGGCACAGAAGCTACAGCCCATCATTACAATCTAGCAATCAAAACAAGTGTAGTCCAAAAATAATAGCAACCAGCGTATAAAGATAAAAGTAACCAGCGTATAACAACAAGTATATATATATGTACTGACCACACTTTGCATTTCAATATTACATCCAGCTGCAGGAACAGGAGAGGTTGCATGACATCGATCGATCACATATCAATGTTGCATGCTCTAGATATATAGCTGCCAGTATACATGCAGCTTTATTCTTCACACACATATACATACAGTACACTCGCAACTCTCATAGGCATGCATATACATCACACACAACCCTGCATATACTGTATAGATACTTATACATATATTCAGGTACGTACGTAGGGCATTCGATGGTTGTGCAGATCGATCATATCGATCGATCAATTGTGGCGGTGATAGTAGGGTTGTCCGACGGTGAAAACAGGGAATCTGACAGTGGGGCCGCAATTCCTGTGGGCTGCATCCAGGTCTCTGTATTTCCTCTCCAGCTCTGCGAATTCTTTCTGAAGATTCGCGTGCTGCTTCTGCTTCTCTTCCTTGTACCTGGTCAGGTTCTGAACCTGCCTCTCCAGCGCCTCGATCGTGTCGTTTAACTCTTTTATTGTGTCGTTTAATTTACTGATTCTGCCGTTTAAGCCCTTGACTTGATCCTTGTGCGCATCGGCGTTCTCTCTCTCTAGTACCTTTGTTGGCGGATCGCCCGTATATCCCCTTCTTGTTGCCCGGTGCTGCATGCATATATAGATCATCATAATAATCATATGCATGTTTGATAAGAATATTAACTCCATTACAAAATATGGGAATCTAAAATCGGGTGAGACCATATCCAGATATACGATGAATCTAATGCTATATTTGAGATGGAAGGAGTATATAAGCACTCCATCCGTCCCAATAAAGCACTTTGCATATCTTGTATAAGGATTAAGCGAGAAAGAACTCGTAGCCTAGTGGTTGAAATGCTCGAGTAGTACTGGGTATGACTATCTATGTAAGCGAATTTCAGGTTAAAAAAGATCACTTGTAGACTCCTCGTAAAAACGTGTATTAAGAATGGGCCCATCATCTGAAAGACAGAGGTCTTAAAACATGGGTTAATGACAGATCATAAGGACTAATCCGCATGTATGGGCCAAAGTTCGTGGCCATTTTTAGCCAGTTTGGTTGAAGCTTTTTCTTATTCTTTCCTTCATCGGTCGAGTTATTTCATTACAAGGATTGGGAATAGACGTAACATTAAAAAGAAAATTAATTAGTAATGATTGGTACTTTGGTAGGGACAAGCAGCTGGTGGAGAAACTAAACAAATGATGAGATATATAAGAAAATAGCTAGGTAGACAAGTAATATAAGAAAAAAAAATAAATTTAAACGTTTAAAGTAACTATATTTTGGGACGAAGATCATAGTAGTATATGCGTATAGCAAGAGAAGATCAGTACCATTGTGAAACCAGCTAGCTAGCAAATTCGATCAGTTGCAAACTTGATCCTTGAGTTATTCTAACCTTGGTCGCTTGCTACCGTCTGGAGACCCCGGGGCAATGCTTAAATAGACAGTGCCAACTTGCAGGGCTAATTAATTAATATACTTCCTCTGAATATTTAATGTTTAGGATCAGATTTAGTGAAACTTGTAAAACTTTAACCATCAATAGCTTCTTACTCACATTACTACAAAACATCAAATTGGTCTCGACACTATAGGTGCCAGAAGTGCTAAATCTGACACATATAGGCCTTTTCGCACATGTGGGTTGAAATTGCAAAAAAAACGACATCTTTAAACAATTATAGGTGCCGGTTCTAAATAAAAACCAACACTTATTCTATAGGTGCTGGTTTTTATTAAAAAACCGAAACCTTTAATATGTCAAAAAACGGCACCTTTAATCCACTAGAATGGATACCCTCATCTCAATCGGGCGGTAAGCCCCATCTCAATCGGGCATGGCGTCCATCACAGGCTAGAAGTCACTGATGTGATGAGCTATCTCAATCGGGCAAACGGTCGTCACAGATGATTCTATCTCAATCGGGCCCTAAGTAAAGCCCGTCACCGATAGCTTTGACCCAGACGACCAATCAAACTATAGCCCCTCACAGATGACCTATCTCAATCGGGCCACAACTATAACCCGTCACAGATGAGTCATCTGTGACGGGCATTAACTTATGCTAGAGTTAATGCCCGTCACATATGAGTATATTCCAAAAATAAATAAATTTTATTTTTTGGCTAGCCCTCACTCGTGTGCACCCACGCGGAAGTTCAAACTTCCCGGTCGGTCACCCATCCCAAAATTACTCCAGACCAAGCACACTTAATGTCAAAGTTCTTTAGAGATTGGCTTCCGGAAGATACGAGTATTCTATTAATCCTATTATGCCCTAGGCCAGGATGTTAAATTGGGGTTATTAAATGATTTCAAATGGAAAAGTCACCAAAACCAAAGTTGTAGAACTCATCGAGGTGCAAAATTTTTATTTTGGTCATTTCTCCATCTGACTCTATTTAAACAATTTGAAATTTGAAATTCAAAGTTTGAAAAGTTCAAAAAGAATTTTAGATCAGTGAACGACTTCAACTGAAAAAGTCATCAACAACAAAGTTGTATAACTCATCAAAATCTATAACTTTTATTTTGGTCATTTTTCTATATAACATTTTTTGAACCGTTTGAATTTGAATTTGAAAATATGACAACTTCAAACAACATTTTCAAATACTAAATGATATCAACTGAAAAAGTCATCAACAACAAAGTTGAATAACTCATCAAGATCTAAAACTTTTATTGTGGTCATTTCTTCATACGACAAAGTGATAGTAACATTGTTCACAAAATTGACATATCTCTTATCTAGTTTTATAAACTATAACACATATATGTAAAATTTATGAATAATATTACTAACATTTCGTCAGATGAAGAAATAACAAAAATAAAAGTTTTAGATCTTGATGAGTTATTCAACTTTGTTGTTGATGACTTTTTCAATTGAAATCATTTAGTATTTGAAAATGTTTTTTGAAGTTGTCATATTTTTAAATTCAAATTCAAATTGTTCAAAAAAATGTTATATTAAAAAATGACCAAACTAAAAGTTGTAAATATTGATAAGTTATACAACTTTGTTGTTGACATTTTTTCCATTTGAAATCATTTACTACCCGTAAAATTATTTTGCTATAATCAACTTACAAATATAAACATTTCATATGAAAAATGAAAAAATAGTCATCGGTGACGGGTTTTAGTTAATGCCCGATAGAGATTAAGTATATAGCCCGTCACTGATGAGTCATCTATGACGGGCCTAGTTGTTATCTCAAACGGGCCTCAAGTTGGTGCACGTCACAGATGATGGTCATTTGTGACGGGCCACAACTTGAGGCCCGTTTGAGATATGGAATGTTATCTCAAACGGGCCTAAAGTTGTGGCCCGTCACAGATGATCGTTCATCTGTAACGGGCTCTAATATGCTTAGAAATAGCCGGCCGTCATAAGGAAGTCATCTCAATCCGGCCGAAAAGTGCCCGATTGAGATATGGTCGCACAGACATGTTAGATGGGTATAAAACTTAAGCCCGTCACAGATGACACCTATCAGTGACGGGCCACAACTTTAGGCCCGTTTGAGGTATGGAATGTTATCTCAATCGGGCCTAAAGTTGTGGCCCGTCACTGATAGGTGTCATCCGTGACGGGCTTAAGTTTTATACCCATCTAACATGTCTGTGCGACCATATCTCAATCGGGCACTTTTCGGCCCGATTGAGATGACTTCCTTATGACGGCCCGCTATTTCTAAGCATATTAGAGCCCGTTACAGATAGAAGGATCTGTACTAGTGATCATTGGTGGGCCCCACAAAAACCGAGCCGAGCCGAGTCCGCACAAGACCGCAAGTCGTCGTTCTTATCCATCCACTCGGCTACATCTCTCTCTCCTTGTCTCTTTCTTCTCCTCTTCTCCTCCACTCGGCTCCATCTTCTCCTCTTCTCTTTCTTCTCTCTCTCCTTATCCCGGGCGGCGCCATGGTGGGAGGGGACGTGCGGCGACACTCGGTGGCGTGAGGTGGCGCTACGGTGGGAGGGAGGTGGCCCGCTCCCCTCGGCGGCAGGAGGCGGCGTGCAGCGGCGGGAGGAAGGCAACCTGCGCAGCCGAGTCCCTCGGCAGCGGGAGGCAGTCGGACAGAGGTGGCCCGCGCCAAATCTGAAGGTGCGGCTCGGCGAAGACAGCCGGTGTGGAGGTGGGGCCGTCGGCAGGAGGTGCGACGGCGTCGGTGGCCTAACCAGAGTGCTTTCATCAAGGGCCGCTCCCTTCATGACAACTTCCGCTATGTCCAGCTTGCGGCAAGGGCGCTCCACGCCAAATGCGTTCCCCGACTTCTTCTCAAGGTGGATATCGCGAAGGCCTTTGACATGGTCAGCTGGCCTTTCTTGCTTGAGGTGCTAGCCCAGCTTGGCTTCAGTCAACGTTGGCGTGATTGGGTCTCCCTCATTCTCAGTGCCTCCTCTTCCCGGGTGCTGGTCAATGGGGTGCCAGGTATCGGAGAGGTCTTCGCCAAGGAGATCCTCTTTCCCCCATGCTTTTCATTCTAGTCATGGATGTGCTCAATGCGATGCTCCGCAAAGCCTCTGACTCGAGTAGTTTTCTTCCCCTCAATGATTGTGCTATTCGACATCGTGCATCCCTCTACGCCGATGATCTAGTTCTCTTCCTTTCCCCCGTTCGGTAGGACCTTGAGTTCATCCAAGGCATCCTCTCTATCTTCAGTGCCGCTTCCGGGCTTCAGACCAACTTCACCAAATGCTTGATTACTCCGATCCACTGCTCGGTTCTTGACCTAGAGCTGGTTCAGTCCTCTTTTCCTTGCTCGATCTCTGAGTTTCCCTGCACCTACCTCGGCATTCCACTATCAGTTCGCAAGCTGCCAAAAGCGGCCCTGCAACCACTTGTGGATAAAGCCTCCCATCGGCTCCCCCCCCCTCGAAGGGTCGTCTCACCACTCTGGCGGGTCGCTCGGTTCTGGTCCAATCGGTTGTCTCTTCTATTCTGGTACATCTTTCTATGGCGATCGGCTTGCCAGGCTGGGTTATCAAAGCCATTGACAAGAAGCGTCACCCCTTCTTGTGGACAGGTACGGACTCGGCCAATGGGGGACAATGCCGAGTGTCCTGGACGAAGGTTTGCCATCCTAGGTATCTCAGTGGTATGGGCATTCCGGACCTCAGGATAGCTGGCTTTGCCTTGAGAGTTCGCTGGCTCTGGCTTCAGCGCTCAGGACACCCCAACTGGTCTGATCTGAAGGCCTCTGTTGAGCGGAGCGTCTCCGACATGTTCGCAGCATCTACCTTCACTACCTTGGGAGATGGTCAGTCCACGCTCTTCTGGACTGACGATGGATTGATGGTCGGTCGCTAGCTTCTATAGCTCCTGACCTCCTCCATGTCGTGCCTCCACGTTTCCGGGGATCGCGCACGGTTGCTACTGGGTTAGCGAACAACTCCTGGGTTGGTGATATACGCGGTGCCCTCACTGTCCCGGTCATCTCTCAGTTCCTGTTAGTTTGGGACGCGGTGCTTCCTACCCAGCTCTCGCCGGGTGTTGAGGATCGCCTCGTCTGGTGTTGGACGGGTGACCAGTGCTACTCAGTGCGATTGGCGTACCAGGCGTTCTTCCTTGGCTAGCACTCTTTTGCCTGTGCCGACCTGCTCTAGCACGCGAAGGGCCCTGCTAAATGCAAGTTCTTCCTATGGTTTGCATTTCAGCAGCGCTGCTGGACTACCGATCTTCTCCAGAAGCGTGGTATCGATAGCCACTCTGCTTACCCCTTTTGCGCTTAGGAGCTTGAGAGGGTGAACCACATCCTCATTAATTGCATGTTCGCTCGGTAGGTCTGGCTCCGTGTGATGTCCCCTCCTGGCTGGGTTGCCCTCTCTCCCCCTCGTGGCAGCTGGCTCCAGGATTGGTGGTCATCCTCCAGGGCCCATTTACCTGAGCACCTCCGTATCGGCTTTGACTACTTGGTACTCCTAATCTCTTGGCAGCTGTGGAAGGAATGAAACTCCAGGGTTTTTGACTCTGCGCTCGCTTCGGTCCCAGTGATTTTGGAGTCCATCCGCTCGGAGGGCCAGCTGTGGTCTTTAGCTGGCATTGCTGTTTTTGGGGATTTCTTGGGAGTGTAGTGTGGCTCTGCCCCCTCCTGTTGTTTGGAGTTTCGTTTTAACCATCGTAGTAGTTCCTAGCTTCAGGTTTTTTATTAAGCCAATCTGGCTGATTCCGTTGTGTAACAAAAACTCTTTTCCTGCTAATATTGACGTGCAATCCTTTTACGCGTTCGCGAAAAAAATCGATACATATTAAAATTGAAAGTCACTTAATATTTAATAATTTATAATTACATAATTATTGATTCAGTAAAAAATTTAATTGAGATTCAAAAGAAGATTAAAACTTTGCATTTATATCAATATTGGATTGAGAAAAATTTTATGAGGAAAAATAAAATTAATAGTACGCACCAAGTGCGAAGATGCATTTCCTAATTAAAGGTCCATGTTAGTCATACGATGTTAATTATTAAGTTTAATTGCAAGAATTAATAAATTATGAAATCATCGAGACTCCAAGATTACTTGCTAGTTTCAAATTTTATACTCTAGCTTCGATTTTTTCTAGGCAAACGTTTTTTTAGGTTTAACCAAGTTTATTGCAACATTTAGCAATTTCTACGACACTAAATTAGTTTTATTAAATATAACATTGAATATATTTTGATAATATGTTTGTTTTCTGATTAAAATATTGCTATATTTTTCTATAAACTTGACCAAACTTAAAAAAGTTTAACTAGAAAATAGTCAATGCGACTTATAATATAAAATGGAGGGAGTACTTAGTAAATCCAGAAAAACTATAAGTGCGATTTCAAACCATGTTGCTTTTTTTTTATTTATTCTAAATTTTAGTATTATATAATAAGAAAACATATAAAGTTCAACTCCACAATATGTACAACTTTGTAAATACAAATTTTGAATTAGTAAATTTACTAAATAGAAGCAACAACAAAATTATTTGAATGGTTTTGTGTATGTTGTTTCATTAATAATTTAAATTTAGAGCTGTTTCAGATATATGCAAATCACGTAATATGAGATTACCCGTGGTTATCCATAGGTTAACTAGTCCCCGTATAAAAACAGTTACTCAAGTTAGAAGAATATTTACCTAAACCACTAACAGCATGTACCTATTGGATGCTTTGAAAAGGTCGTTTTAAATTTTATTTACTTGTGGGCATATATTCAAAGGCGCTAATGGTGATTACACGTATAAATCAAATTATTAGGACCCTGTGTAATCTTCCTCGGGGAGCTGGCTTCTCCGAAAAAAGAGTGAACATTTAGAGGTCCAACAAATAGAACCTAATTCAGCAACTAAACAAGAGAAAAACTGGAATGTTACATTTGAGATTGTTCTGAATTATTAAATTGGGTTTTAAGTTTTCAATTGTTGAATAGTTTCATATTAGTTATGAAAGGGTAAAAGACCTAGTATAGCTTGTCACCTCATTGGTGAACTTTAGGGGTTGAGAAAGGTCATTTAGGATCATACATCGAATTTGTGGGATTTTTCATGAATTATCCTACAGTTGACTGGGATTTTCTTGATTTTGTATTGGCTCAGAAAATTTCATGAAGTTAGACGAAGTACAAGTTCCAGGAACTGATTCAGGGGACTTTTAAAATTTTCAGGCTTATGTTATAGTAGTATATTGCTGCACGTATTGACACAATGATACATTAGAAAAGGATTTCTTCTGCAGCTACCTCCTTGGTTGAGCCGTTGAGGCACTTATCATGACCTTCAAGTCCATGGTCTATTTCCAAGGTTGTCAGTATCCCGATACGTATACCAGTATACTAGACACTACGATCCACCAAATCAAAATGATATTATCTCATCTATTATCCTAATTTTCATAGTATCTCAATCTTACTAATTGTTTTCGCACGTTCCTACGAAATCTTAGGTAGTATCCTAATTCTACTATCCCTACGATCCTACAAAATATTATTTAAAAATAGGTGGATTGAAAATAATATGAATAAATATGCTCAAGTTTACATTAAAAACCAATTAAATTTATCAAAATCAATATTATATGCTTTAATTTATACAACATATTATATATTTTATATAAAAATATGTATTTTCTAAAATCTAATAGTATCTCGATACTGATTATCTTGTATATTTTTGGCCATTGCCCATATGTCTTTTGGTATTAAAAAAATGTCTAAGAAAACCGTAATCTAATTTTTTTGAATTGAAAGGGTAGTTACTTACTTGACATTGTTTTCCTCTTTTCTTCCACCTATATATTGTCGATTGCTCTCTATTGAATTGAATTATCAAATTGAAAACGAGTAGCACTTAGTATAACGTAAGAGGGTTAATTAACTAGTGAAAATAAACAGCAGCAGGTCATGATAAATTTATTTTTCATTAGTCGTGAGCTCGATTGGGGTTGGGTGGGGGGGGGTGACCGTCCACACGATTTTTCATTAAGAATAAGTCATGACATCTTTTTTGCCCAGAATCAAGACTGGTGCTAACTTGAAACTCTGAGTCCAAGTTTATGTTTCAGGTAACCTCAAACTCATAATCCAAGTTTCATGGGTAAGGTTAACTTGGAAATTAGTTTATGGCTGTGTTTATATCCAAAGTTTGGATCCAAACTTCAGTCATTTTCCATCGCATCAACCTGTCATACACACCCAACTTTTCAGTCACATCATCTCCAATATAAACCAAAATCCAAACTTTGCGCTGACTAAACCCAGCCTATGACCATTGCCCAATATGAGGGTAACTGACGAAAATGAACAGCAGCAGGCCAGTCATGGTAACTTTTTTCACTAGGGTATACAGTATGGTTCAACTGAGTTTTCATAATTGTCAGAGTCTCAAAAATAATTGCTCTGTTGAATCCTGGAGTAGGTCTTAATATTTACTGGTACATGTTACACCAACCAGTGGTCAATAGGGATGGAGGCTTGAGTCTGGGGCAAAAGAGTTGTCATGAAAGGCCCTCATAATCAGTTATGACTTTTCGAATTTGCTGTCAAAATTTAGTTATGTGTTGAAAATTTCAGCTGTTAATTCTTTCAATTATTGTCCGCCCGCACTCCGCGCAGGATCATGCTTTGGACTTGGGATGTACAGTATGTATGTTTCAGGTAACCTGAAACTCTGAATCCAAGTTTCAAAATTGAAATGTCTAGCCATTTTTTGAATCATTCAATTGAGCTATCTGTAGACTTGGACCACTGAAGTAACAGGATTTCACTTCAGAGGTTCCGAACTGACTGCTGAAGAACAAAACCCTGGAACTGCATTTCCTACAGATGTGAAACTAATTCTACATGTATTGGATAACCATTCTTGATTAATCTGAAGTGGAACAATAATCCTGAGCATCTGCATAGCCAGATTAGGAATGTAAGGTAATCTTGGATCTTTATTCAACAGGCATACACTGAACACTAACAAAACAAAGCCATCAAGCTTTTTGCTTCTGCAGGTTCTAGTTCTTCCTAATTCCTCAGCTCCATCTACTTCTACTCTCCAAAAACAAAACAAAAAGAAACGAATTCAAACAGCCTATCCTTCTCCTCCTCTTCCCCCCATTCATTTACACAGCTCACCACCTACCATCACAAATTCACAACAAACTCGCATCAAATTCTCCACCACAAACACATGTAAGATCATCAAACAAGCCCAAGAAGGCACAAACATTTTTCTTATGTTTTCTGTTCAGAGTTATATGGTGGTTTCAATCGAATGGCGACTTGGCCTTGGATGATGAGTTGTAGATCATGGCGGATGAGCCGGAGAAGCTGCTGCTGCTCGGCGGCGTGCTCGACGACGTCGACGTGGCGGCGGCGGCGGCGCGAGGCGGCGAGGCGGCGGCGGCGCCGGACTTGAGGAGGAGGTCGACGTTGGCGTAGTCGTCGCGGTCGAGGCGGATCTCGTTGAGCATGGCGGCGACGTCCTTCATGGCGGGGCGGTCGTCGGGGGAAGGGGCGACGCAGAGGAGGGCGACGCCCATGACCTGCAGCATCTCGTCGACCTCGGCGTCGGAGCGGCCGCGCAGCGCCGGGTCGAGCACGTCGGCGGCGCCCTTCCGGCGGCGGACCCAGTCGACGACGTGCTGGCCGTCGGGGATGGTGGGGTCGATGGGCTGCTTCCCGGTGAGCACCTCCAGCACCACCACCCCGTAGCTGTACACGTCGCTTTTCTCCGTTATCTTCATCATGTACCCGTACTCTGCAATGTTTGTTAATCAGAAGGTGAAAGATTGAAGTAACTTTTGTGACATAGTATTGAAAGCCACTGAACTATATGATTCTGTTCAACATTTGTGCTTAAGATGGGTGGTTTGTCCTTTTTGGTTGCGTGAATTTTAAGCGGAGTGGGCTCAATTGGTTGTACCATCTTGATGTAATTGAATAAGTTTCGATAAAGCTTCCATTATCTTAAAGAAAAAACTTACCTGGGGCGATGTAGCCATATGATCCGGCGACGGTGTTGGACGAGCGGCCAAAGTCGCCGTCGTCGACGAGCTTGGCGAGGCCGAAGTCGGCGATGTAGGCCTCGAAGTCGAGCCCGATGAGGATGTTGTTGGCCTTGATGTCGCGGTGCACGATCGGCGGCACGCAGTCGTGGTGCAGGTACGCGAGCCCCTGCGCCGCACCGAGCACGATCCTGTACCTCACATCCCACTCCAGCTGCGCGCCGCCGCCGCCATGGCCGCCATGGCGGCGCTCGTGGAGCACAGCACCCAGGCTACCGTTCGCCATGTAGTCGTACATGAGCAGCCGTGTCGTCTTGTTCCAGCAGCAGCCGAGGAACCTCACGATGTTCTTGTGCCGGATGCACCCCAGCGTCCTCACCTCCGCCGAGAACGAGTCGCGGACGCGCCCGCCGCCGGCGACGTCGTCCTTGTCGGCGCCGTTGCGGGTGCTTGGCCAGAGCTTCTTGACGGCGATGACCTCGCCGGTGTCGAGGCCGACGCGGTACACCACGCCGGAGCAGCCCTTGCCGATGATGTTGGCGTCGACGAGGTTGCGCACCACCTGCTCGACGCTGAAGCTCAGCTTCTGGAACGGCGTGAACTGCCACGGCCACGCCAGGTCGCCGCCGGACTCCGAGTCGCTGCTCCCGCCGCCGTGCCCGCCCTTCCCGCCGACGATGCCCATCCCGCGCGCCCGTAGGATCCCGACCATGCCCAGCACCATCGCCACCGTCGCCGTCACCAGCAGCGCGATGGCGAGCTTGAGCCGGTGCATCCGCTGCACCTCCTCCTCGTCGGCGCTCATCACCGGCCTCCCGCTGGCGTCGATGCTGACGAAGCACACGTCGCCGCCCTTGGTGCAGAGCCCGGAGTTGCCGGCGAGGCACGACGTCGACAGCTGCCGGAACAGCTTCGTGTCCGGGAGGTAGCCGGTGAAGTTGTTGTTGGACACGTTGAGCGTGACGAGGTTGTCGAGGCCGGCGAGCGGCGCGAGGCCGCCGTCGAGCGCGTTGTACGACAGGTCGAGCACCGAGAGCTTGCTCAGCGCCGAGATCCTCGCCGGGATCGGCCCGGTGAGCCCGTTCCGGCTGAGGTTGAGCGCGATGTCGAGGCCATCAATGGCGCAGAGTTCGTCGGGGATGCGGCCGGAGAGGGCGTTGTCGCTGAGGTCGAGGAGCTCGAGGTTGCGGCACTTTCCCAGCGCCGCCGGGATGGCGCCGGAGAGCGAGTTGCCGCTGAGGACGAGGCGGCTGAGCGCCTCCAGCCTCCCGAACGCGTCGGGGACGCCGCCGGTGAGCTGGTTGTGTGACACGTCGATCTCCTGCAGGCCGCGGACGCCGGCGAGCGACTCCGGCAGCGCGCCGGTGAGCGTGTTGTTGCTGAGGTCGAGCATCTGGAGCTGCGAGCAGTTGCCGAGCTCGGCGGGGACGCCGCCGGCGAGGCGGTTGCTGCCGAGGTCGAGGAAGTTGATGCTCCTCATCCCGGCCACCGCCGCCGGGATCGTCCCGGCGAGCCGGTTTCCTCCTAGCCGCAGCCGCACGAGGCTCGCCGCCTTGCCGATCTCCGGCGGGATGACGCCGGAGAGGTCGTTGGAGAGGAGGAGCAGCTTGGTGAGGTTGCGGAGCAAGAAGATCCCGGGGGGAATGGCGCCGGTGAGGTGGTTGTGCGAGAGGTCGAGCGCCTGGAGGTTGGCGAGGCCGGCGAGCGACGCCGGGATGGAGCCCTCGAGCTGGTTCTGCCACGCGAACACCACCTGCAGCGCGGCGAGGCGGCCGAGCTCCGGCGGGATGAGGCCGGAGATGGCGTTGGTGTCGAGCTGGAGCTGGACGAGCGACGTCGCGTTCGCCAGCGCCGGCGGGATGGTCCCCGTGAGGTTGTTGTCGCTGAGCATGAGGTCCTGCAGCGCCGGGAGGCGGCCGAGCGACGCCGGGATGGCGCCGGAGATGGCGTTGATGGAGAGGTCGAGGGAGACGAGGGAGGTGAGGTTGCCGAAGGTGTCCGGGATGGGCCCCGTCAGCGAGTTCTGCCATAGCAGCAGCTTCTGCAGCCGCGGCAGCGCGCCCAGCGACGGCGGGAGCGGGCCGGAGAGCGAGTTCTCGTAGAGGTAGACGTTGGTGAGGTTGCCGCAGCCGGCGAGCTCCGCCGGGATGGAGCCGGACAGCATCGTCGTGTAGATGGACAGCGTCTGCAAGCTCTGGAGCCGCCCCAGCGACGCCGGGAGCGCGCCGGAGATCTTGGTGTCGGCGAGGCCGAGCACGACGAGGTTGGAGAGCCTCGAGAACGACTCCGGGATCTCGCCGCCGAGGTCACGGTTGCCGCCGGCGCGCAGCGACTCGAGCAGCCGCAGCTCGCCGAGCGACGCCGGGAGCTCGCCGGAGAGGCGGTTGTCGAAGAGCAGGAGGTCCCTGAGCGACGCGGCGAGGTTGCCGAGCGACGCCGGGATTGGGCCCGAGAGCTGGTTGGAGTTGAGCGCCAGCGACGCCATGGCCGTCGCGTTCCCGAGCGAGGCCGGGATGGGGCCGGAGAGCGAGTTGCCGCTGAGGTCGAGCACGGCGAGGCGGCGGCACAGGTGGAGGTCGTCGGGGACGCCGCCGGTGAGGTTGGCGTCGGAGACGACGAGCGACGCGAGCGACGGGAGCGCGGCGCAGATGCCGGGGGGGAGCGGCGCGGCGAGGTGCACCGACTGGAACGTGACGGAGGTGACGCTCCCCGTGGCGGCATCGCAGCCGACGTGCGACCACTTGCACGGCGACGACGCCGACGGCGACCAGTCCGGCGGCCGCGCCGCCGTGGTGTTGAGCCATTGCGTCAGGAAGGCGACCTCCGATGAAGCCGAGGCGGCGGTGGAGGAGGAGAAGGAGAGGAGGTGGAGTAAGAGGAGAAGGAAGTGCATGGGGCTTGGCAACAATGGTGGCAATGGCAGCTGCATCAAAAATCGTGCTGTGCTTGCTTGGGGCAGTGCACAATACACTATGCTAACCAAGCTTGCTTGGTTCAAGAGAGGTGATGATCTCTATGAACTTCACTCTCACTCTTCACTCACTCACCATGGTTCAAGAGTGAAAACAAACACCTTGTTTCTCTCTCTCTCTCTCTCTCTCTCTCTCTCTAGCTACTCTCTCTCTCTTTTCCTCCTCAAAACACTCAACAGGTTGAGCTGTTTGCTTGTGTCTTGGTGCTTGGTTGCTTGCTCCAGATGGATAGTGGTGGTGGTGGTGTCATGGTGAAATGTGGGTGCTTGCTTCAATGCATTGGGCTTCTCCCCAACACAATTTAACAAAGTTTTGCTTCTTCTCTCTCTATTCAATTGGTGATGTGTGTGTAGAGAGAGAGAGAGACAAGGGGGTGCATTGGGGGGAGGGAAGAAGGGAGAAGAAAATTGGGTGTGGCACTGACAATGGGAGCTTAGCTACTCTAGTCTCTAGTGTGCAGCTGCCCTTTGGCTATGATCAAGTATTTCTATTGTCAAATTGCAAACAATTTGCAATGCTACACTCATGTGGAGCATGTACACCATGCTTTTGGTCTCAATCGCACCAATCTTGATGTGTATCTTGGCTTTGTAAATCTATGGTTGAGATTAAAATCTTGACTTAGTTGTCAACTACTTAACTTAATTTGTGCGGCTGCGTCTTCTCCCATAATCAGAAGCTCTCACAAACAGTACATCTTTTGGTCCAGATTTTGAGAAGCTGTAGTTCTAGAATCCAGAAAATGAACTAAAGCCAGAAACTGGAAAACCCAGCTTTTCCAGATCCTCAGAAGCTGGCTATCAACCAACTACTTCTCAGAATTTTAAGTTCCACCAAACAGGCCGTAAGACATGTTTGATTGGCAACTACAGGTTGCTACCTTTTTATCAATAGAAATTATCAAACTTACCTAAGGTTATGTGCTTAAAATCTTGGTCATATCGTAGATAGAATTTTGCCTCTCTTTTTAGTTATTATTACCACGTGCGATCTAATTTGTTGAAAAGGAATTTTACCACAATTACGAATGCAACCAAACAGTTAGTATCTGTATTTATCAAACTTGTCTAACTCTAGATATGGTAAATTGTGCTAAGCTGTGGCTGGCAACTAAACATGTCCTAATTGTGTGCTCTAATAAATGTTATTTGTGGCTTTCTGTGGTACTGGTGTTGGTTGATGGGGGTGATCTTCATGGCTTTAGAAAGCAAGCGGCTTGTGGGGAAGCCAGTCGGTGTTGTGTCCCCTGCACAAGTCGATTGAATGTTGACAATTTAATTTTGCTTGCTTCATCAGTGAGGGCAAAAGCAGCATTAAATCCCATGAAATGCGCGGCAAAAAGGTAGGGTTTGTTTCCGAAAATTAACACCCAAAATAATTATAGGCAATGTTCGACCGTACAAAGGCTAATGTATACTATTTTTTTGGCCAAATAGTCTTGAAGTCAAGTCAAGGGAGTATGTACATAGGTTGGTCAGGATTGTATGTATTCAGAGGGGGACAAAACGTTAAAATGCAGTTTGAAAAGTAAGACTGCAGGTTTGAAGTTTGTATATTCAGACTGCTATGATCAAATGTCTAATTGAAAATGTGTAAAGAGATCACATAATTGACCTAATTAATCTCCTATCATCTTTAGTTTGGTCGAAAAAAACATGAAAAGACTTACTATTTTGTTAAAAAAAACATTAAGGAATCCTCTCAAATGGAGGATTGGCACGAGATTTCAATTCCCAATGGATTCTTTTTCATGTAGGCTCCTTTGATTCAAGGGAAGGATTTGAAAATCTTCATAGGATTGCATTTATTATCAATTTCATAGGAAAATAAGCCACATTAAGACTTTTCTTCAGTTCAATCTTTCTTGGAACAAAATGTTTCAACAAGCTTCGCAAGCAAACCAATGGCTTCTTTGACTTGCACCTGCCGGGATTGCAGGCTAGACAATAGACCTGATTGATCAACTTGTCGGGGTCTGGAGTGCCATTCAGGCTCTACACCTGGTAGAGCACGAGGAGGACAATATAACATGGAAGCTTACTAACCACGGCGAATACACGACATCAACGGCATATAACGCACAACTCCTTGGAACCACCGCTACCAACTTCAACAGGCTAAACTGGAAAGCCTGGGCGCTGCGTAAGTGCAAGACCTTTGCCTGGCTAATCATCCAAAATAGAGTCTGGACTTCTGACAGGCTAGCGACAAGAGATTGACTAAACGGTTCCATCTGCCCCTTACGTCGCCGGACCCATGGAACAGCCCTGCACCTCCTCGCGGAATGTAGATACACAAGAAGAGTCTGGGCGGAACTAGCGGAGTGGGCAGCGTGCGAGCGACTACAATCTAGCCAATGGCGGCAAACTTCGATGGTGCTAGATTGGTGGGAGGCTACCGTAAATATACAAGAGACACCTAAGAAGGCACTCCGCACTTTGGTGTTGTTGGTCGCCTGGGAGATATGGAACAAAAGGAATTGCATAACCTTCCAACAGAAGGAGATTTCAGCTACCTCCCTGTTAGCCAAGATCAAGAAAGAGGCTAAAACTTGGGCCTTAGCAGGAGCGAAAAGTCTTAATAATTGGCTTTCTTTTAGTTAGCTCGGATGGAAGGTCCTCAGCTTCTTTTTTTTCCTTTCGTTTTGTAAAGTTTTCCTTCTCTGTTCAATGAAAGTGGCACTAGTCAATTTGTTAAAAAAAAAGGTTTCTCTTTCCGTTTCGTGTGTTTTCGATTCTATACGATTGAAAAAACATGCTACTTTATTTTTTTCCCAACTGTTTTTCCTATTGAGCATTTCAAAAGGGGCCTAAGAGCCTGGCTATTCTGAATAACGCATGCTTGCTTGATTGTCGCAAGTAAACATAGTAGAATCCCATTTTGTAGTACTCCAATTAACAGAGTGTTAACTAGGCCGGAGCCTCTAGCTAGTTAATTAATTAGCTAAATGGTAAATTTCCAGCATAGAGATGTCAAGATGCTGTATGGGTTATTCCAACATTGGATCACGTGTATATCACGCGCACAGCAGGCAGCTGCAGATTAAAATTACAGTAAGCCAACAAAAATTAGTACACCATTGTTTAAGATTGATGCAGGGAAATTAGAGTACTAATAGCTTTTTACAGTGCCAATTAACCGTGTGCCAACCTTGAGGTTTACATTCCGGTTAACTACTAGAGCACTCACTGAATGGTGGGCCTCATCATTTACATTAATCTCTCATAGGACCCACATGTCAGCGAGTAATTACCAGTGGCTTTGCTTGTTTAATTAGTAAAGAAAATCATATAGATTCGCGCTAGTGTTGAGTTGGATGATGAGGAGCGACCCGCACACGACATGGGGCATCTCTCCACAGTGACAGCCTTCATTGCGTGCAGCCACTAGTTATTAGTTAATTAATTAATTAACGTGATAAGTAAACAGAGTTAGTGGTAGAAATTAAGAAGCATCACTCTAATTAAGCTGGTCAGGGCTAGCTGGTTAAAATGAGGCAAGCATTTTTCTATTACTTTCCACATTCACAATTCAGTCCCTCTAATTTATCTGCATCTATATGTACTTCACCTGCACTACATAATTGGAGCTGCTATAATTCTAGAGAAGAACAAGAAGATCAAATCTATCTTGTTTCAATCGATTCCAATTGTTAAATTGTCAATTCAAATCATGGTTTCAATTAATCCTATGTGCATTGTATGAACAAATCCTCATATATACATCTATTAGTAGATTACAAGTAGTATCATGTTTGGACTTGCAAAGAAATCTTGAGTAATCCAGGATGTTCTGCTAAACACATACATGCATATTTAACAATGTGATCAAACTGTCATAAAGTAAAAGAAAAATTAATGTTAAAATCAGAATGAAGGTGGTGTAAGTGTGACTTCTGAGAGGTGTTTAATACTTTAACAACTTTACCACGTTGGCTGATGATATCTTATTCCTAACCGAGTACTACTACTCTCTAGCCTCTACTCTTAATTAACCGAGTACTTGAATTAACAGTGTTCATACAAGCTAGAGTCTAAACCCCAGCTCTCGTTGTCTAATCTACACAAATTAAATATTAATTAGCAGCTAGCTAGTCTCGGCTTAGGGCAAGTACTATAATAGATGTAATTGTTACCTCCAAATTTATTTATGGCATTCACCAATAAATTAAGATGCAAGATATACAATAGGTCACCCCTAATACACAAATATCAATGCCTTTAGTACTCTCACATCTTTCTTGGAGCTTGTGTGGAGGCTACCTCTTGATTTAGGGGTGGTTCATCATCTCTCTCCTTACTTCTCTCCTCCACCTCATCACCCAATCCTATGTGTCATTTTTAGGGGCAGCACATGAACCATTATAGCACTTGCCCTTAGATGGCTCAATGGTAAGCTTGGTCTTGGGCTTTGAGCTTGTGGCTACCTATTTAAATTGGCACCATGTTAGGGTGCAGCTACCAGTCAATTGTAACCTAGAAAGGCATCTCAAAGTGTTTTTGATTCATTTGAATGTTGGGTTTCTTTTGAGGTATGGTGTCAAGCAGAAGGCATTGGTATGCATCAAAGGATTAGGATGACTTGTGGTGGGGTTAATTCTCCTCCTCACTGTCCCCAAAATATAGGGCCCATCACTGTTAAGAATAATAGAGATGAAGTAAGGAATAACCTAGTTTGATGTTCCATTTCTTTTTGTAAGGATAAATGTATCTAATATGTTTGATCGATGTTCCATTAATTGTAGAGTATGTTGATCGAGGTACTAGAATATAAAGGACATCATGTAAGGTTTTACAAATTAAATGAGCATCCTCAATCACGATGGCAAGGTTGTCATTCATCAAACAATTTATATATCTCAATATAAACTTTTGTATGAGAGTGCATCAAAGAAGAAAAGAACCATCTTTAAGAATGTGTACGAAAAGAAACTACTAATATGGAGTGAGGACAAAGAGACTTATCTATCTATTAAATTAATTTAATTTGGTCAGCAGAACTTTGTGAAAGGAAATATTGCAATGGTAAGAAAATTTGAAAATAATTAGTGGATAGGGAAGTAAGTAAATAAAGGATATGCCGGATTCACAAAACATAAATCATATAGAATATCATAAAAGCATATAAATTTGGATCGTTGATTCTTTAGTACTCTTTTGGATGATGATTCTTATTGCATCCGTTGTGCATCTTACAACGAATTATCAAGTCCATACGTGCATGTGAACTCTCTATCTTGTTGGCGCATGAATTGTCTATCCCCAATGGTTTTTGCGAACCCTGGTCGTCACAGTTTTAAATTAGTTACACACTCTTAACGGTTTGTGTTTCCACAAACATATGTATAGTAATGAAAACAGCAAACAAGACCCAGAGTTGTATGGCGAAAATCCAGAAATGGCCAAAATTGGTGGCAACAATGACCCCAAAAAACTAATTTTTCCTCTAAAGTCCAATCAATGACTCCTGGTACAAGTAATAGGAAACAAGCCAGCTGGCCAACTTCATGTCAAACTGTCAATATAGGTTTAGGCCAAAGTTGAGCGTGGTTGTTTCAAAAAAAAAAAGGAAAAATAGTTTAGTGTGGTTGGTTGTATTGTCACTTGATTGGCTATGGGTCAAAGCTAGTTCCTGGTTTTGGGGAGTTAAAGAGCAAGTCCACATTGGAAAGTTTGGGATGGGGACCCATTTGACGGCCAGATGATCTCCTGGATAGCGACAAGACAATGCATGGTGTGGTGTCTCTTCATATGGTTCTGCACTCGTGTGCATTTAAGACATTATGATTGGGTTGAAATAGCTGTGTACCTTAGAGAAAACCTTTCTGTTTTCTTAACTTTTTCAGATAACTATTAAATGTAAAAATTGTCTAAACTTATTTTGGAAATAAATCTTTTGACCACATCCCTTTGAATATGCAGGCACCTAAACCTCTCTATATTCCATACAGTTCTACTCCATCCGTCCTAAAATAACTTCACTCTTTATCAACTAGTTTGACCCAAATAACCTCATCCTTTAAGCAATTATCGCATTAGAAATTTGTGAAAGTGAGCAATAAATGCATTACGATTTATAAAAGTGACAGACAATTGCATATTGAAGTTTGTTAGAGTAAAGGGCATTCTAGGTTTTATTTTTTTTACCTTTGTATTGGTATGTGTAGGATGTGTGTTAAAATTAAAGTTATTTTGGGACAAGTACACTGTTACAACACTATGATGTGCTGAAAGGTTCAAATCTAGACCTAATATCTATGTGAGGATTTATATTTTTCATATATATTTTTTTAAAAAAAATGAAAATTCAATAAATATGTTTATGTTGACGAAAACATGCCCAATCTTATAAAAATTCAATTATGGTCATAGTTTCGTCCAAAACTTGTGGCTATGGTTCATGTTTGCAAAGCTTTGCATCGATGCTGTGGAAGTGTGGAGAGATGAGCATGTTCATGGTTTCAAGTTTCAACAGGCCATAAGGTCAAAATGTCAAATATAGTACAACGATGTACATTTAAAATAATCACTAACATGTTTTTTAATTATGGTTAAGGTATCAAAGCTATATGCAAATATAATCACTCGGTATATATGACGAGCACAAAACTTATCACCCAACTACTTCTATAAAAGTGCATTTTAGTACTAATGCTAACACTGTATATATGAACCATAGCCACAAACATGCAAATATAAGACACTAAATGCAAAATATTATAAATAATGGTTACAAAGACCATCAAATGTTGCAAATATACGAAGTTTTCTGCAACGGACGCAATGTTTCATCATTTCCTACGTCCTCAGCATTTTTATTCTAATTAATGAAGCACATAAGAAGTTCCAAACTTCAAGAACTGATCTAAACTTGCAGCAGAAAGAATCATGATCGGTTGTGGGTAACACAAGGAGGGATGTGAAGACATGCTCCATGTAGAAATTAAACTGTTAAAACCCCAAGAACTGGATCATGCAGTGCATGTGGATGCAGGAAAAAGTACAAACCGATCGAGCTGTAAAAATTCTCTTACCGGATGTCACTAAATTACTAGCTTGCTCTGCAGCCCTGCAGGCACAAAGCTAGCAGGTTTAGTGGTAAAAACAAGAATTCTAGATCCCAATGCAATGGCTGTTTGTTTAGGCTCAAGTCGTTTCTCAGATTTAATTTACTTAATTACCACAAGATAGGTGTAATAGACATCTGTATTTTTTTTACTGCCTGAATTATTTAGTACTACACACTAGTAGTATTTAGTTTACACAGAACATGGTGGGTAGAGACTAATATATGAAGTATGATATGATTCACTCTTAGCTGTAGTTTACTTGGGTAATTACATGCATCTATAGAACAAAGGCACTACTCCTATGTTTTAGAGGTAAATGGAGATGGAAGAAAGTAACTAGAGATGCCCATGAACTTGTGCTGGTAAAAAAAAGAGTAGTAGAAAACTTAAAGAACGCCCTAAAAAGCATCTCAGCATGCAGTGACCATGCTGTATAATCACCAGCCACACTGCACACCATCCATCCCGGTCAGCTGCTGCTGCTTTTGAAGCGAGTTTAAAGGTTAAAACACTGGCCTCTCTCCAGACGGATTAACTATACACGCATCCCAAGGTTAATTAGGACGTCACATGCTGTTAGATTCCATCTCACACCGCTTAACCCACTTAAGTTTATCTTACCATTCCATCTCCATCTCTTTTTCAACGTGTATTATGTACTATACAAAGCTACAAGCAAGTAGCTAGGCTCGTAGCCACGTGGAACCGCCGCCAAAAGATCCAAATTTCTTTGTGCCTATTAGCAAAACATTAGTATGCATGATTATATTAATTTCTGAATTGGGCATAGGTCTTAATTTTGTTTTGTAGGCTGGGTGATACTGATGTTCATGATAGATGTAAAATCTGTTTAGTTTTATCCTTTTCAATTAAAAGTTCTAATTCCTGGGATGTACACCAACTAGAGCTGTACACGGACATTACACGTAAAACTAAAACCTGTATTTCTAGCATGGCGGTCAATAATTACAGTTAAGGGCAAAGAGTGCCTAAACCAGTGGATGTATATATTACATATATGCTCCTTTGATAAAGGTACCATCAATCTCATTGGTAGAATGGAGTAGAAATCACCTAGTATTGTTTAGATGGCTGTCTACACTGTGATTTCAATTATCTGAGAATTTAAATGATGTGGTGACTGGATTTCATATAAACAGTGGTTTCCACTGTAAAGTTACCCCTACTATCTTACCCTGGAAGCGCTGGTATTTTACGGATATTTCTAGCTGTTATCTAAAGAACTCGTGTAACAGGATAAGAACTTTACTGGAAGTACTAGAACAAACCATAGAGAAAACTGCCGTTCGCTGCAGAAGATAAAAGGCTCGGTAAATAGCGTACTAGTACAAGATAGACCGCTTAGTGCAAAGAGAAATTATTCTTCGTATATTTACAAACAGGAATTTAGGAAACCAGGATACATACTGCCAAGAAAGCCCTACTTGTAATCTTGTATGCATCTCCATCACTGATCAAGTAGCCAGCTGTTAAGCAAGTCCAGTGTTAGTCGGATCAGATGTCCTAGAAATACATATAGTAAACATTTCAGTGCATTTTTTTTATGCTAGTACTACGAGCAGAAGTCTAGCTACAATGAGATTCCAGTAAACCTAGGAAACCAAGAAATTTGATATAGGGATGACTGAACAGAAGGGTGAAACTGCAAATTGTCAACAAACCTGAATATGGCTTCAAAAGTCCACCTGAGTCTATGACCCATCCATTTCCACGACCACAGGAGCAAACTGCATTCAGATGAAAAGAATGTTTTCACTCTGAGTGCAGCAAAGAAATGCTATCACTCGATCATGAATCGTGATCCAAATTTACCTCATCATCTTCATCAATTAGATTCACCGTATTGTTGTCAAGATCCCATCCAAATGTGGTCTCCAGAAGTGATTTTAGTTTTCGAGTCTGAATATATGGAGGTAAACATTAGAAACATCTTTTGATATTATTCCAACATTACACAATAATAAAGCTGAAATAAATTTTCTACAGAAATAATGAGGCTGGCTGCTCAATGGATTGAATTTGCAGCATACTTTGTCTGCAACGTACTCTAGTTATGAATAAAATAAAAAAACATTTTTCTCTGATATTACTCTCCTCTGTTCATATAAACGGCAACCACAGACCAATCATTCAAGTGCACGAAAATATAACTCCCTCAAAATAACTGGTCAAAGGTCCATAATTTGTGGTTTTGTGGATATTAAACCAGGAATTTGAAGTAACCAAAATACTAGTCCAGCTAGGGTATTTTCAGAGAAAGTATGAAGTTCTAAACTCAGTCTAAATGTGGTAATTCAAGCATGGGCTACAGAATTGCTTATGTGGTATGTGTAAATGTGAGAGAGAAGGTATAGGAATGCCCACCCATGACAGAAGGTCACCATCAACAACTGTAGCTTCAAGTATCACCGCAAAGAAATCCTGACAATAGCAGAACAAGCTATTCAGCTTCTAGCTGTGCTTCTAAGCAAACTGTTTCTTACTCCATAATTCAAATATGCGATAAGAAATCATGCTTGGTCATGATTAAATATAATGATTCCAAAATAAATCATGAAGTCAAATGAACTGAACAATATATTCACACATTTTCCAGATATGCAAATTCACCTCTACCTTGATGAGTTTACTATTATTATAGGTGTTTAATAGTCCTCGAGTTTAAAAATGTACGAATGTTAGGGTCCTCTGCATTACGAGTCCCAAATGGACGATCAAACTTAAGTTAGCAATGAATAGGCACACTGCGCTGCTGCTTACTGTCTTCACAACAATAAAAAACAGTAAACATGTAACTAATTGAATCCAGGATATGTCTGCTAACTATACACAGTGAAGCTAAAATCGTTTTACTTCAGGTCCAAGCAGTGCATTCATTGCAATTGCTAAGGACCCATTTAAATGCAATTATGGAGTAATCAATATAAGGGTGAAATACAGTTTCAAATGAAAAGAGCAGTGATAGAGGAGAGATGAGGTTTTACTAACTGTTGGGACATATCTGGTAGGAGCTAACTAAAATACGAAAAATGACTCGATCAGTAGCCAGTGTTGGACAGTGGTGACTTGTTGTGGTTGTTTCAAGATGTACAATCTGATCTAGAGATCAATATTACCATTACTTGATTTTTCGTATTTGACACAATTAAAAATTATATAATGTTTTTTCTTAGTCATACAACTAGTTTTAGGAAATATTTACCTTAAACAGTAAGCATATATCTTGTAACCAAGAAGATTTTGTAGGGTTATCAACAAAAGATGGTAATAAGTACCTTAGAAAGACGATAGAGAAATATGTCTCTTGAAAACCATGCTTCATCTAAGAACAGAGAATTCCCCATTTCCTCACCACTTCTATTATCCTGTGTGTGCTGAAAGCCATGCTTGAGTTGATAGTAAATTGCCCTAATAAACTGAAGCAGCACAAAATGACAAGGAAATGGTTGATTAGTCATTATCATTTCAGACCATCTTTGCCCTGATAAATTCAGTAAAACGTGCCCATATATGAACAGTAGAATAAGGGCAAATGATACCTTTACAAACAAGTTAGTCCTTGTATGAAGAGGCTGTCAAAAGGAGGAAAAATTAAAAAAAAAAACTTATAAGTTCATGAATATACTTGTGCCATCATTTCTTATGACTTATGAGGTATGATTTAACTCGGACAGTGGTATGTGCATTATAAATTTGTAGTAGTACTATATAGTGCAATAAATCCTCAAGAAGGTAATTATAAACTGTCATGTCAGTGCATCCGTTCGCTTCATTGTTCCACACTCCCAGCCTCAAGACACCAAGTAAATTCAGTTTGTTAACATTGACGGAAAGCATTCATGTCTTGAAGCATGTGCTCAGCTTCATCAAGATGTACCCTAAGATGACAGTTTTAACCAACAGAATCTGGTTACTACAGATAATGATGAGTTGTTGAAACTTTTAGACAGCATATTCATGGAATTTGGTTGAACCAATGCTTACAGAAGCACGGTAGCTTCTTCATCAAAATGTGTCCTGAGCAGTTTAATCAACCTATTACATGTCTCACTTCAAAAAAGAAATGGAACCTCTAGCCATCTGGGTACAAGCGAAGCTCTATTTTTGCAGAATGCAGATGCAAGCAGCCACCAAAAAAATGCTCAATGACACTATTTTGTGCACTCTGATTTTTCTGTTTTGATAGAAATTAGTTAGCATGTTTAAATAAAGAGTAGCACTATTGAGTAGGCAGTACACCATCGATGAAGCAAAACATGTACATTCTATCCATCAATTTGTGAAGATGCAGTAAAAGTGCTGCTTAATATTAACAGAAAGTTGAGATAAATTAGTACTTACAGCTTCACTACAGCTCAAAAGAAGACTAACTAATGCTTTCCATTGCATAAAAGCCTCCAGTGACTGCCCCATCTAAATAACTCAAAAATGTTAAGAGAATTATGATTTATTGAATGTCTTTAAAGAAGTTGGTTTTTTTCAGTAGTACCATAAATGCTATGAAAGCAAACTGCAGCTCTCCCAAGAGTAAATCCTCTTGGCCTTGGTAATTCTTGGCCAAAACACTCTCCAGCAAGCATGTCTGAGAAGTATAATAGCTTCATCAGCAAATAATAATACAATTTTTCGATTTGGTGCAATTTACATGAGGCATGTGTGAAAGGAATCAATCCAAGCAATCCACCATTAGTAGAAATTACTATGCCTAATGTAGAAACTAGAGCATGAGAGCATATCTAACATGAAGCCCAGAATATTACTTTGTCCAGATTTAATGCAGTTAGCTCATCCCCAGAGATGTTACTATGCTTAATTGAAGCAGGGATAGTTGTATAGTAGCATCCTCTCCGCTCAGACTGCACAGGAGCATTCTTTGCAAATTTTCCATCTTTTAGTTGGTCCATTAAACGTCTCTCCATGTCTGTTTGCGGAGCTTTATCCATCCATGATGACTCCCATGCAATTGTAATTTCTCCACCAATTGGCTCTGGAGATATCAAATATAAATCAAATATGTAATAAATGTGCCGACTTCCAAACCAATATGAGAAACAAGAAGGAATCTTGCATACCAAGACGTTCAATGACACTTTGTGGCAAGTAGCTTGAGAGTTGTTTCCAATCTCCAAATGAATCCAAATTATATGGTCCAAGCTGACTGTCAAACTCGAAATGTCTTACTGCTTCAGAATATCTGATTTCCTACCAAAAAGTAAACTTCAGTTTCCTAAACGAAAAACCAACTGGGCATATCTGTTATGTGTATTTTTGTCAAGTCATAGTGAATTTTGCAGAAGCACAAGTCTGTGGAATATGTACAAGTTAGGGGTATTAGACAAATTTAATTTTACCTGATTCATGTAATGTACACTGTTTCTCACTAACAACAGTGGCAATCCATAGAAAAACAAGTTCAAACTTCAAACATAGGTTGAGTGCATTTTGTCTAGTCCTTTTTTTAGGGAATTGTCTAGTCTAATTTCCACTGTCATTTATGGTGCAAGTATGAGAGAGCTGCAATTCCAATTTTAAGCAATGTATCTTATACCTCATTATAAACTGATTTAGTTATTCACAAGTTGCCATGTCTGTCTTCATAATGTACAATCACAATACAATTGATACTTGGCATACTTTACAGTTTAACAGCGCATGAAGGAAATATGAAAATTACAGGATTTAAAAGAACTTGAAGCTACTATACCAACATTCAGCAAAATGCACTCTTTTATCTTCTGAAATAGTGGCTTTTCAAGACACTTCCATCTCAGTTCAGTGCAATGTAGCCTTTATAAGAACTAGAAAGGGACAGGTGCTTCTATGCTCCACATACTTTAATTTGCACCGGTTTCAAAGCAATATTAACATTGCACGCATCGGAGGATCACTTGGATCCTAGTACTGGAAGTGGATCAATTGGTTGAAATATAATGCTTTTTGTTTCAAATGGTCCATTAGCAACATATAAAAGCAGATTTCCTGGTTTTCAGTTAGCAGCCAAACAGAATGCCTAGCAATTGAAGGATCAAGACATTCATCAAAGGAAACAAAGCAATGGAGGACCAATCAATAGTCCGTATGTCTACACTGATAACCATTACAAAAGTTACTAGAAAAATATAAAGTGATATAATAGATTAAAGACAATTCTATCAATCAGATATGTCACCTCCTCTTCTGGTAGTTTTATTAATCTCTCCTCCTGTGCATGCCACTTCCGAACAATCACCTGGAAATAGCATACAGAAAATGGTACTGTAAACATGCAAGTTACTGCCATCATCAGAATCCCCCCCCCCCCAAAAAAAAAAAATCAAACTTTGACTTCCTTCAAAATTTTAAGTACAGTTGAGAATATTAATCGTCATTCACTGTGACAACAATCACAACATTCATTTTCATCTCTTGCTTCAGTACATCTTACAAGTGAGTTCTTCTTTGTTGGCTTTTCTTCTGTTCATTCTATAGACCAAATTAGATTTTTTTTCTTTTAGCCAGGCATACATATCTATATATATACAATACATGCAAGTTTATCCATTATTTGAAAATGAGTGGTTAGATCCACGCATTCATGTAACTACACTTCAGCAAATCATATCAACAGTATCTTATTTGCTAAGATGAAAATAAAAAAGAGAATAACATACGGTAGTAATGCAACTGTAGTAAAAATAAATACAATACTACTTTATTTAGCAGGACAGGGTTCTACATTTTGAATTCACCGCCCTATCTGATTTTCCGTGGCTAGCACTGATAAAAGAAATATTAGCTATTCACAGAATAATAAATGTAGTGGATATGTTGATGGTTCATCCTTCCAACCCCCATTTTCAGTAAAACTGACATGTTCACATACAACAGAGTAGCACAAAACAAAACCCAGGATGCAGAATTCAGCATTAACCCTAGAATGGATAATATCTGGTGCCATATTATCTCTGCGGGCAATTTAAACTTGATTTGGGGCATCATGAAAGAGTACCTCAGATGGGTGAGTAGTAAGAAAGAATCCGACAGTAGGTGCGAACTCATTTGCGTGCCTGAAAGGATCACAGATTGTGGAAGAATAATCAATATGTGGCTTCTCATGTAAGTTGTTTTGGCCATAACTGAAAGACACAGACCATGCAGGCGAAATGGAACAGAATGCGTAAAACAGGCACAAGTGGTTTCATCATCTTAACATGGTTTTCTGAATGCCATAACTCCAGATCAAGTAATCAAACGTGCTGCTACTGATATATATCAAGACCGGTTTACAAATGTTAATCAAGATCGGTACCAGTGATTTCAAGTCGTCTAGTCGGGACTAGTCGTAAGGGCACCGACTAGTCGACTAATCGCGATTAGTCGCAACTAGTCATAGATTAGTCGGTGACTATAGGCTAGGGATATGCAGGATAATGTACAGATGTTTATAAGTATTAATTACCATAGTATACTAGTATAGTATAGTACAAACTAAGGATAATCAGATTTTCACAGTTGACAGTTCACACTTGACATAAGGTCTTAAAGTTAAATCATTTACCTGTCCTAGTTGCAATAAGTCCTTCATCTTTTCTCCCCTCTCTCTCGTGACTAGATCTAGATGGCTGGTTAGGGTTAGATGAGGGGTACAGGCCTTCTTGGGCTGGGCAAAAGGCCTGCCACTGAAGTGTAAAGTCCAACACATATTTTTAGCCCTAACAGACTAGTCATCCACGACTAATTTGATCGACTCTCATGACTAGTCGTGATTAGTCGGACGATAAGTTTTCTGGTCAAACTAATCGCTTCAAAGTTCATGATCGAGGTCAGGGTAGCGATAAGGATAACTAATCATGATTAGTCGCGACTAATCGGACGACTTGAAAACACTGATCAGTACACAAACTGTTGTGACCCAAAGAAGCACTAGGTAGTTAATTACGCTTCGCTAAGATTGTCTTGTCAAAATGGAAGGTAGAATCGAGCTATCCGATCCAATTGATGATGCTACACTAGTACACTAGCAAGGTTCTTTTAATAATTTTTTTAAAAAAAAATCAACCTTACATGCATATCACTCAGCACTTGCTGGCTAAACAACTCTGCACAAGTTGACTGACGGTGTGATAAATCTAAGAAATAGAGAAATGGGATGACGCAATGCAACCTGTTGGGGGAGCAGTAGTAGAGGAAATGCGGCCCCGGAGGCACCATCTTGATCCCCTTGAACTTGGGCCCGACGGAGAACACCTGAACCGAATCGAATCAAAAGCAGCAGCACGCAAGAATTAGCCTAGCGAGGAGAAAAGGTGGGGTTTAGGGTTTAGGGAAACCAACCTGGGTGTCGACGCCGAGGAGGGTGCGCTGGGGCACGTCGAGGAGGAGGAGCGTGGCGCCCTTCCGCACCAGCTCCGTCGCCGCCTCCGGGTCCACCGCCGCCGCCGCGCCGCCGCCGCTCGACATGGTGCCGCCCAGAAGAGAATGAAGGACCCAGAAAAGAAAAATCGAAACGAAACCTGGTCGGGCGGGTGGATCTTCTGCGGCTGGACTCAACTCGTGTACTCAAGCGCCGATTAGTTGCCGTGTATTGGTCCGTTAACTTGTGAGAGAGCATCTAATGCACTCACCTCCCCCTTAAATAAGCAGGCAGGTTTAAAAAAGTCACACAATATTGATCAATTTGCTTCTTCAAATAAAAGAGTACTTCAAAATCATGGTGTTGTTGGAGGAGATGGAGGAGGAAGATGGCCTTCAGATTCTTCCTCATCAGTAGGAGGGCATCGGTTGGAACAAATGGGAGAGAGCAATCCAGAAGAGATGTGAAGGATTCATAAATGGCGATGCAGAGAGAGGAGACACAGCAACGAGCTCACGTAGAAGTGAGGGAGGAAGAGGCAATGGAGACGAATCAAGAGCTAGAAGCAGAGCTTCTCGCCGGGATAGGGGAGGTGAGGTTCAAGCTAGAGCTCAAGCGGCTGATTCAGGGAGATGCTATCTCTCTAAGTATGGCTCTTCCTTTGCAAATTCTCATCTGGCAACTAATAGAAATGTACTCCCTGGTGGCGTTAGGGTACTAGCAGTGCTATGGAAGAAAATGACAAGCTCTTTTATCAAGAAGTGGATGATCGAGCTCAATCAGAAGGAAGCAAGTCTCAGTTTCTCCACAGAGTCAAGTCGCACCTGACTTTAGGTATGGCTTATTTGGCTGGGGCTCAAGCTGCTAGGAATTATGGTTCTCCTGCTACGATCGGGGGATGTTGTTCTGTTTCTGGGCATGATGTGGCTAGCGTTCCTCGAGGAAAACTTTTGCAAACTCAGCCTCAAGATCAGCTTCTTGCACATGGGGATTACTTGGGATTGGAGAAAGGTCGGCTCACTTCTCAAGGGCAGTTGGCGCCAGCCCACAAGGTGCCACAGGCACCATGACTTTCTTGAGCTGGAACTGCCGAGGTATGGGAGGACACCTCGGCAGGAGGAAGATGCAGTACCTCCGTAGTTTGATCAGCTCCACTCTCGCTCAGGTAATATTTATTTCTGAAACAAAAAATGATTCTTTCACTTCCTCTGATCTCACTGATGCTTTTCATGTAGATAATAGCTATATAGTTCCTGTTGTCCATGCTTCTGGTGGTTTGTGGCTTTTGTGGAATAATGAAGTGGACCTCACTGCGATGAGTAGTTGTGCCAATTATATAGTAGCTGTAGGTGTTTCATATCCCTAGTGGCACGATGTTTAATCTTTTGTATATATATGGTGATCCTACTCATCTTAGTTCTAGCAGAATTTGGCAGGAGGTTAGTACTTTTGTTAATCAAAGTAGCCATCGTGCCACCATCTGTATGGGACACTTGAATGATATTATGAACCTTGGGAGAAATATGGTAATGCTCCCCCTAATTTTAATCGCATCTCTATGTTTTATAATCATTTGAGACATGTTGGTTTGATGGATATGGGTTAAATATATTATTAACACCAGAATAACGGATTGATGATTTTATCAATGAGGGTAATAACGTCATAATCATGGAACGGGGTTGTGATACTTAGCCTGAGACGGTCAATATCGGTGTGAGAGGAGGAATGCTTCACGCAAGTAGAGACTTCGGTGACGTGATTCTCATATGAGGGTATCACTGCGACTAACAAATAAGAGTAATATGAGGGTATCATTTTTACTTGGTGTTAATTTGTACATTAATCCTTAAAACAGCTAACTTTCTGGCATTGAGGGAGTAGTTAAGTTGGTATTTTGACTTTTGTGGTTTATAAGCCAATAGCTTAAAACCCACAAGGTCAAGAGTAGTTTCCTAACTCCACTTCACATAATAAGCCAAGAAAAGCAACTCAAATCTAGCTTTCAGTCCATTAATGTAGTAGTAACCTATAGCTTTAGAAGGGAAAAAAAGCCTTTAGAGCAAGTTTTATGTAGAGGTGGATACTACATCTAATTTTAGCCGTGTTATCTACTCTTCACTACACATACCCTTATAATAAGGGTTAATTGGATCCATGCCACTGCAAATATGTCAATTCGGAAAAATGCCACTACTATTCGCGATATCGGCTACGTGCCACTGGAATTTGGCGAAATTGGAACCATGCCATTCCATCGCATTTTCCGTTAAAAATCCATGTTAGAATCCAACTGCGCATGGGACCCACCTCCCTCCCCTCTCTTTCCCCTTCCTCTCTCTCACCCGCATCACCAGCTGCCGACATCCATGGCGGAGAAGCACGCCGGCCGCTGATTTCCTCGACGACGGCGGCGAGAGAAGCGCATCTACCGGTGGGGACTATGAAGGGGAGGGCTTGCCGGCATCCAAGTTGCAGCAGTGGTGGTGGCGTCGTCGTCGTCAGCCTGCTACTGCTGCTGCTGCCGCCGTTCAGATCCACAGCAGCCACCTGCGGCGCGTCAGATCTAGGCGTCACCGCCGCCGCAAGCCGCTCGAGCTCACTTGAGATATCCGAGTTGAAGCTCGAGTAGTCACTGAAATCCCGCAAGAGCTCGAGCATCTCCGTGGTCGCGGCATTGGCGGATGACGACTTGGCCACCGCCGCCGGGCAGCCGACGGCCACGGTGCACCGGTAATACGCACGCGGGCAAGGGTTTCCCTTCGCCATCTTCTACCCATACTTCCTCCATTGGCACCCATCGCTGATCTGCTCATCACCATATCGACATCTCAACACAAACATCCATGCGAAGAAGAAGAAGAACACTAGCTGCATATGGAACATGATCGAGCACACACACCATGGGTGCATCGGAGCGAGCTCGAACGGAGACACGGGCCTTCCGCATGGAGTGCCCCGTGCGGCATTGCGGCACAGGTGGGTGCAGAACGTGGGGTGCACGGAGGACGCGACGGCGTTCGTGACCCTCGCTGCCGCCATCGGCCGGCTACTGCTGCTGCTGCTACTGCTGTTGCCGGCCACCTGCTGCTGGTATTCGTCGGCCATGCTCGCCGAAGAGAGATGGGGAAGGAAGGAGAGAGGGGATGGAGGAAGAGGATGGAGCTGACATGTGGGTCCCAATCCCACACTGAAGTGTGACGGCGATGGATGAAAAATGTGACGGCGGTGGCATGGATCTAATTTTACAAAGTTGTAATGGCACCTAGCAGATTTCGTGAATAGTAGTGGAATTATCCTAATATGACAAAATTACAGTGGCATGGATCCAATTAACCCATAATTTTATATTGTTGGTTCACTTTCACACTATTACACTTTCTCTTTACACTTTTCTTGGAGATTGCATAGATATTGCCCGTTGTATGAGAGGTGGCTCGTCCTCTCTCCCTTCTCACTTCTCTACTCCACCATCACCTAATCCCATGTAACACTTCTAGAGGAAGCACTTAAAGCCTTATAGTAATTGCTCTTAGGTCTTGAGTCATCTTTGTTTGGGCTTATTGGTGTAGTATTTGCAGTCCCTGGTGTATTGCTTGGCCATCGTAAATAAGTATCATTTAGTGGGAATAGTGAGTACTACAAAACCTATCATTTAATGAAAATAGCAAGTGCTATCTCTACATGTAAATAAGTAACATTTTAAATAGCGATACAGTCACCAAAACGCTATATATTTGTAATCAGAGGGAGTGTATCTCTATAAAACAATCTCCTGTATACAACATGAAGTCATAAAAATATGTGATGTTTTATATAACAACAATATCACCAAAATATTAGTTCTTATCATTTTGTAGTACACAACCAATGAGAAATGTAGGATATATATTATTGGTGTTATGAATAAGGCATATATAATACTTTTGTGTTAGACTCGGCGAGGCATCATATACTAAATCTTATACGGAATTAAGCCTCATATATAGAAGGTGTTCCGGGTAAGGACTACTCGGATAATATCCGTACTTGACTCCCTAATTCTACTTAGATAAGGGGACACCCGAGGCGAAGAGAGACGGAGACAAGTCAAGACAGATCTAGATAATCTAAGACAAGCCTAGACGAACTAGATACAGAGCTACAGAGGTCGACAAGAGGGATCTAGGATGACCTCCAATCTCGCCAAGTTCATATTCGAGCAAGCATAAAGTAGATTAGATCATCCTAAATATTGTACTTTCTCGCCCCTTCTATATATAAGCAACACCGACTTCAGCTAATAAGGAGTAAGGGTATTACTTGTCAGTTTAGGGGCTGGACCTCTATAAAAATCCATATCTCCCTTCTCTTTTACATCAATCTCACGTATATCTTAGCACCAATGATCGGGGGGACCCTAATGGGCATGTGATCGCTGTGGGCGATCACCCCCCATCCCTCTTACACGCTCCTCTCCCCCTTCCTCCTCCACTTCTTCTCTTACTACTACACCATAAATTTTAAAAAATAAAAAAACAAAGTTAGAAAAAAAATTAAAATAGAAAAAAAATCTAATACTCTTATTTTATGTGCATAGACTCTGTACTTATGTACAGACTTTATACCGTAAACTTCGCATGTACAAACTTTATGTATAGAAAATACTATATATAAAAAATATTTGAATTCAAATTCAAATTTGAATCGGGTATATAAACTTTTGATTATAAATTTTGTGTCTATGAACTTTAGGTGCATAAACTTTATATATGTATAGAAATAATATATATAAAAAAACATATTTGAATTCAAATTCAAATTTGAATCAGGCATATAAACTTTTAACTTATAAACTTTGGGTCTCTAAACTTTAGGTGTATAAACTTTAGATGCGTACAAACTTTAGGTGTATAAATTTACTAAAATAGAAAAGTAATACGGTGAAAAAAAAGAAAACCAAGTGCATGTTTGGTACAACTCCAACTCCTAAATTTAGTTCCAGGAGTTGGGTCTGAAGTGGAGTTGTAGAGCTGCCTAAACCCAGCTCCACAACTCTAGTTCATTTTGTGAGAGCTCCACCCAGCTACACTCCCATTTTTGGTGGAGCTGAAACTGTTTGGCTGAGCTCCAGCTCCAGGAAGGGTGGAGTTGGAGCTGGAGCTGTGCCAAGCAGGCCCCTCGTGAGGAGAGGCGATCGATCGATCGCCCGCCCATTAAGAATTTCGCCA